GATCCTGCCCTACCAGGTCTCCCACACCCACCTCCCCACCAATTTGGATCGCTTGTTGTTCCCTTGTCCCTGCGTTTGTTATCCCCTCTTCTTCCTGCCCTACCAGGTCTCCCACACCCACCTCCCCACCAATTTGGATCGCTTGTTGTTCCCTTGTCCCTGGGTTTGTTATCCCCTCTCTGGCTGCTTTCCCTCGGTCTTGAACCTCGCTGGGGACTTGCCATCCTCACCCTTTGCTTCCTGAATGCCCTTCTGCCGCCTGTCCTGCTCTGCTTGTTTGTGCATTGGTGTGCTGAATTTAGAATCGTGGTCTCTGACTCCTCGTCCCCAATATCTCCACTCAGCCCAAGATGACCACCGCGCCCTCAGTGAAGCATCTCTCTCTCCAAGTGACTCTGCCACCTTTGGCATCTCGACTGCCACCTTTTCAGATGTGTCCACTCCCCTCCTCCCACGGGGTCTGTAATGCCCTCGGAGGGAGACGTGGCCTCTTTAAAACTTAATATCTAACATGTTACTTGACAGTTAACGGAAGTCGGGACTGGGCAGGCCATTTGTCAGCCTGTCAAATGGGGACAATGGGGAGTTGGCTTATAGGGAGGGGATAAAGATAGATGGAATAACCTGTGAGAGAGGATGTAAAAAACACACCTGTGAAGATTTATAGACGTGGTTCAAAGCCACCGGCAGCTCCATGGGGGAGAGAAAGGTAAGGCTGTCTGCTCCTGTAAAGATTAACTGTCAGCGATCCTTTGAGTCAGCCCAGGAGAATCACAAAGAATTGATGGCATGAGTTGGTCCATGACATCGACCAGTAGGTGGCGCACACCGCTCTTCCTATTGACAGAAGCCCTAGTCAGGCTGGTTACACGTCACCAAGAAAGTGGGTAACAGTGGCCTTGAAGGGCATATGTGAGGTTGAAAAGGAACTCCTTTTGTGCGGCCCTGAAAAGACTGATGTACCCTTTTTGTCCAGCTGTAGATTGATTCACATTAAAGGATCTGTACAATTAAGGAAAGAACCCTGGTGGCAGAGTAGTTAAGGTCCTTATTAGACTGCTAGGCACAAGGTCAGCAGTTTGAAACCATCAGTCACTGCAGGAGAAAGACAAAGACGAGCTTTTCTCCTCCTGTACAGAGTGGCAGCCTGGGGTTACTGTGAGAATCGACTCGACTAAGGGTGAGTGAGTGAGTGAGTGAAGGCCCTTCAGACACCAAATCTGGGAAGTCATCTGGTTCAAGCCTCTCAGGAATCCCAGCTGAAAGCATGACGGGCTGGCCCAGCCTTGTGCTGATTGCTATCAGTGCCTCTTGGTATATGACTTTGTAGGTTATTTTCTAAGCCTCCATTTACTGGCCTGTAAAATGAACAGTGACACTGAATATTGTGCAAGACTTTTGCACAGGTCAAGTAATGCATATAAAGCACCTGGCTCATTGCCACCATTTTCAAAGCATAGCAGCTGCTTCCAAGGCAAAACTACTTAGCCTGGCAAATTTGGGTTTTCAAATTGTGATGGGAGATGAGGAAATAGAGACCCAAGAGGTTAGGAGACCTTCAGCGCAAGAAGCAAAACCCTGTGCGCAGACCAATTTGCCAGATACTTGTGGGCAGAAGTTACCGAGTCTCAGTGGTGCTGATATCTTTTAACTGAGACCTTCGATAGTGCTTGGTTACATCTAAAACAGCAGTTCTCAACCTGGGGGGGGGTGTCAAAGGACCCTTTCACAGAGGTCTCCCAATTCATAATAGCAAAATCACAGTGATGAAGTAGCAACAAAAATAATTTTATGGTTGGGGGTCACCACAACATGAACTGTAATAAAGGGTTGCGGCATTAGGAAGGTTGAGAACCACTGATCTAAAACTAACCACTTGAGCTTGGTGCACATTTACCCTAGAATGTATCCTGTGGCTCAGCTGTAATTGTGACAGCCCAGTGAGCTGTCTTCCCATGCCCAGGTTATGTCCCTCTGACACTACCTGTGAGCAGATGTACTCAAGGCTCGGGTGACATTGAACATCTGTCCTTACCAGTTTCTTCAGGGCCATGCCTGTGACTGAATGTTCACTAGTTCTTTCCAAGAACAGCTGGTCCCAATTTACCTGGTGTACTCTAAACCTACTCAACTAGGTGGCCAATTTGAACCTAGCAGCAACTGTAGAGGGCTGCTTGGCATCTTAAGTCTCCATCAGCCCTTTTCTAAACAAGACCAACTCCTACAATCCTTGAAGAACACTTTTCCAAGACTCAAGACCCCGAGGCAGAAGAAGATTGAGAGAGTGTCTTGAGATGAGACTCTATCCCAGTAGGGGAGAACTTCTACTCATGTTCCTCCTGCCACCTGTCAGCTTTGAAAACTGCACACTGAATTAGTCATGGCCTAGAACAGCCTGAATGGCAACAAGCCCTGCAGAACTTGGGTATTGGAGGAACAGGGTCCCTCTAGCTAATGGGAGTCTTAGAAGAGAGAAGGGACAGAAAAATATTTCAGGATATAGTGACTGGAAAACTCATATATTTGATGAAAAGCAATGTACACATCCATGAAGCTCAATGAACTCCATGTAGGATAAATTTAAGAGATCTATATCGACACACATAATAAGCAAGCTGTCAAAAACAAGCAGAAAATTATGAAGAGAAGTGAAAAACTCACACAAAAGAATCTCAATATGAGAGCAAATGTTTTAAGAATGAGGGCAATGAATGTACAAATAAATGTGCTTTACACAGTTGATGTAGGTATGAATTGTATTAAGAGTTGAATGAGCCCCTAATAAAATGATTTTTTTTGTACCACCCCACCACCACCACCCCCCACCACCCCTAAAATGATTTTTAAGAAACAAAAAAAGAATCTCAATATGATTAATAGCTGACTTTTCAACA